TTTCTCATGGGCTTTTAAAAATCTGCTGCATGACTGTTGAAAGCTGCTTTAGAATGGATGTTCAGCAGCATTTGGAAAGACTTGATATATTTATCCTGTTAAAGAACTTCAAAAGTTAGTAAGAAAGAAGACCTTTTGATACAGTAGAAGCCATATACATAAAAATCACTTTCCTTCCACACTACTATTATATTAAACTGGAAACATATAAAAAAATATGTAGAACAAAATGACACTGTGGCACGGGTTTTCTCAGTCTCTTTTTTGTTTGCCAAGGAGATGATGGCGTGGAACATATTCCACTTGGCAAGGTGGAAGGAAGAGGAAGAAAGGGATTATAACAGAAAATATGGATTGGTGGGATCAAAGAGATTACAGGAACACTTTCGGAATAATTATCAGTAATTTTTGATGGAACAAACCAAGGCATTTGCATTGCAGTTGTCAAGTATCAAACTTAACTCTGTGATAACAAACAACCTGCCTTAGTTAAAAGTTATTTCACTGGAAATTAAACTGGAAGAAAGAAGCAAAAGATAATTTTAGATAAAACTTCTGTTACGGTGCTTTGTTTTAATTACATTTTAGAAGAAGTGTATTTTATTGCCCATATTTTCTCATCATGGGTAGAGTTTTTCTTACCAAATGAAATATTAGTTTCCCAGTGTCTCCAAATGGTTAGTGTAGGAGTACCTGTTTTGTGCTAACTATAGGAATTCACATAGAGCATTGTTTCTTAGCCTCAGCAACTTTAAGATGTGTGGAATTCAGCTCCCAGAGTTCCCGAGCTAGAATGCTGGCAGTTGGAGTCCACGCATCTTGAGGTTGCTGCCATTGAGAAATAATAATATAGAGTAAGGTTGTCACACTGGTTTAATTCAGGGAGGCAAAGCATGTAATGTTATTACCATTGCCACCACGAACTAATTTAGTTTGGATGTTTAGTAAATTTGACACTCTTCATTACATAGTATTATAGGTGCCAAGAAAGGCCATGTGCTGATAAAATATATCAGATCGTCTCTGCATGAGAATGATGATTTGCAGACAGAGAAAACAGGATAATTAAAAAAAAGTGTTGTTGAAGCAAGGAGAACATTTTCAATCATATCAAGATTCTATTGTACAACTTACCTGAAATAAACATTTGCATGCATCCTGGCCACAAAGTGGAATGGCTTCTCATTTACTCAAATTTGTTGTGCAACCCAGCCAAGATATCTAGTTGGCAATGGCAATTGCTGGACATTATCACAGTGTTAGTTGCCAGATTCCATGACACTTCACTCCTGATTTAAAATGTATTAGTTCTATTAAGGGCTTCCTTCTTCCCATAATAAATATAGTTCAATTATTAAATGCAACAATGGTGTATTTAGAAGAAGAAAGTTTCTGTCAGGCATCCTTAAAGATACATCTACGCTATAGTAGCTAATGGTTTATATATGAGGGAATTCTCTCTATATAGGACTCTATTTTATGCCTCAAATAACACAGATTTCACTTTTTTTCCTTTATGGAGAGTTCCTGAATATTGAATTCATGGAATTGTGAACAATTAGATAAATGAGCAGGATATGTGTTCCATCTACATATTTGCAATTTAGAAATAAAATGAGGATACCTAGATCAATGTTATGATTCATTGCTTGGACCTGGACTGCTTTGATCTTTATTGGCAATTCAGACAAGTATTTTTCTACCTGTTATTTTCCACAGCTACTTCTAGATTTCTTTTTTTTCTGGGAAAAGTAGATCAAGAGAGAAATACCATATCCCAAATTTTGGGTTCTCTTATCTATGGAATTAAATCTTTATTTGATTTACTGTATAAGTTTCAAGGTTGATCTAATGTATTGTTTACTATATTGCTTTGCTACTATTTTATTATTACTAATGCTACTACTATTGTTTACTAAAATGATTTGTACAGGACTGTATTAATCTAGTATGTTCAATTTAAAATTGTGTGAGGATCATTATCTGTATGAGAGCTAGTTTGGTCTAGTGATTGAAATAACAGACTAAAAGCCAAGACACCATGATTTCTAATCCCACTTTAGGCACTAAATCTGCTATGGGCCAATCACTCTGTCAGCCTAGTGAAGAAGTCAGTGACAAACTACTTCTGAAAATCTGGCCCCCAAGCTGCAAGGTGTAGAATAATCCAGGCACTCACCAGGAAGCAACAGTGATTCAAAGACACAAAATATATAGGTGTAATTATCTATACATTAGTTTATAGTTTTTATATCTTATATGTTTAACATTTTTCTTTCTTATACCAATTTCATTTATATGCTTAAAAAAATAAAATTACTATTTTAAAGAAAATGAAGAAAATAGATGCCTTCTATCTATTGGTAGTGCTAAGAACCACCATCTGAAAATACCATGAGTTCATTTAATACATTTTTCCTGCAGTTTGGTTGCAGGGCTTATGTGTGGACAAAGAAATTCAGTACTCCTACAGAAACTCCTAGTCTTTGTACTTGGTAAATTAAACATATTGAAAGGTCTCAGTATCTAGCTGCTGGTTTCCTAACAAAGTGTTAATCTTTGGCTTTTAGACCACTTCAAATGAATTGAAGTAGGAATCTAGGACCTTTATTTTGATTCTTAGCTCAAATATTTTCAGCATCAGGAATTGACAATAGTCTATGTTGTGGCTTCAACTTGTTCTCTGCTGACAAACAGTATTGAACAATCTTCCCAGCATATCTAGAATGTTTTGTCTTTGTGCAGACTTAGACAACAATTCCTGATCACAATGAGTACAAAATAATAGTGTATCGTAATATCACATTGGATAATATCACAAGTGGATATTATCCTTGTATCACATGATTGCATGCAACTACACAAACAAATGAATTTGCATTGTGACATATTTTTTGCCACTTCTTTCCTCATCCACCCTGCAGATACTTAAGTATGCCAAGTTAATCTATTTGACTTCCTTTAGCCAAGAGCATAGTGGCTGTGGCGCTATTCCTCTATGGTCTGGATAGACCTCTGCTTTATCAGGAATACAATGGATCTGAAACTTTTATATAGTGCAGATATATCATTTACCACTTAGCCAGAGACATACAATGCTTTTATCAAATAATTACTATTAAAGCTGTGCATTCTTCCTTTTGGCTCCAAATTATCCCATAAAATAAACTAAGTAATTCTCAAGATTGGTACGCATATCCAAATAGGTTCTGAAATTTTCTTGGCTGGTAATCTGTGAATAGGCTAACTTCATTAATTTATTTAGCAGTCCTAAAGGAATAGAAGAAGAGAGAGATATGGCTTTGTTAACAGTAACTGTGAAACTTATCAGAGTAAAAGACTGGTGTAAAATTGAATGAATGAAATTACATAGCTTCCCCCATGACTTCAATTATAGTAATATCTTTTCCTTAACTTAGAATAAAATATTAGTCCAACAGTGTATCTTGCCCCATGTTTGAATCGAGATTCATAATGGTACTAAAGATCTTTTAATTACAAGCCAATTCTGAAGACATGGCCTACTTGAATTAACTCCCTAACTCCAAAGCTCATATAGATTGACACGATAATCATCTATCCAAAATCATCACAAGTTTCTGTGAATGAAATTCCCAACAGAGTAATAAAACCCTGGAGAACTTTAGAACTCTGATGTGATTAATACTGCGTCTCTGTCTTTCAATATGATGTACTAGCATGTAAATATAAAAACATAATTTTTCCTAGTTATAAGACTGTTAGTTTATAATACTGTAATGAATTTACAAAATCTTTTCCAAACTTGCAGTGATATTCTTTGAAAGTGGAGTCCCAAAGGTGCTTTTTTAAGGAGGCAACTGGACTTTCTTGTTTTTCTTTGAAGACATTTCGCTTCTCATCCAAGAAGCTTCTTCAGCTCTGGCAGGATAGTGGAGAATGGAAGGATTTATATTCCTTGCAGACAGCTGATCATTTGCATCCTTTTAGACGGTTGTTGAAGCACTTGGAGATTTATCTGTGTCCTCAGAGTGACTTGAGTAGTGCTACTGGTTTCTGTAGTTTGCAACTTTTCTCTGGAAATCCATTCATACTCCCACACCATTCAAAGGATGTTTACCAAATTATACAGTTAAAAGTCTGTAGAGATTCTCAGTCGTCCAGGTCATGGTTGTTGCAAAGGTGTTTTTTCAGGAGGCAACTGAATTTTCTTGTTTTTCTTTTCAAAGAAAGAATTACAACTTCATACATCATGCCAATTCATGATTTGATGAAGAACCACAGTTAATAGGGTTCATAGTGCATTAACTAGTCATTCACAGAAGGGTCCAAAAATATACTTTTGATATTTGAAATGAATTAGTGTGAAAAAATTGAAGGGTTCTTTATCAGACGTCTGTCAGCGGCTTTTAAAAATTCCGCAACTCTCTGGGTGACCCCAAATCTTTAGAACAGGGTTAGGGAGCATAGCAAAGAGAATGTGTTGTATTAACAGATGGGGGAAAAGAATCTTATAATACCAATTCCCCACTATCAGCATGATCACTTTTTATAACTATATTTCACCAATAAAATTAATACTTATCAGAAATACCATTATATTATGTTTAATAATAAAAAGTTAAATAAACCTGTAAATAAGTCATATAATTAGGTGACCTTTAATTAAAAAAAACTTGCAATATTGACAGCCCATGTTTAAAGAGGCTGACAGATGTAGGAGGGGAGAGGAGGAGGTGGTATATCAGTAATGCTTCTATATTTAGATACGTCTCCTTTATTTGACTGTACAGCTGGCCACTCAATTTATTTTAATGGACTTGCAGTTCTCTTTCCTCTGAATACTTTTCATGTGCTACACTGAAATCTCAGTCTATACATATAAGTCTTAGGAAGGCAAGTTTATTACTGATGCAAAGTGAAGTCATTAGTAGGATCCAATGGATGAACTATCCCAATGACCCGTGTACAATCATATTACGTCCAAACCAGATCCATCACTTTTACTTTCTGCCCTACAGGGAGCAACCCATCTACAGCACCCGAGCTCATGTCTTCCAAATTGACCCAAATACAAAGAAGAACTGGGTTCCCACCAGCAAGCATGCTGTTACTGTGTCCTATTTCTATGACAGCACAAGAAACGTTTATAGGATCATCAGCTTGGATGGCTCAAAGGTAAGATCCTTGATTGTTTAAGCCAAAATAAACTAGAACTGCATTAACTCTGAAGCATAGATGCCTTCCTTTTAACATAGTTCAAGGTATTTCATTGATATGTGATCCAGAATGATACAATTGTTTTAAGTTGGCTTACAAAATTGTACTTTATTAATAATGCTTTGAATTGTTCTGATAAACCATTGATAGATGTTCAAAAAAGGCATGCCTTGCTTGTTTTTGTATGAGTGGGAATTCAGCATGAAAAGAGAAGAAGCTAAAAACTGCTCTTTGAAATGAGTGTATATCTGCATCCAGTAGTCATATTTTTGTTCACTTAATCTTTAACATAAAATAATTTTCAACAATAGCCAAATGTTTCTGATAGGAACTTGGAAATGTCTTCCAAAAGTGATGTGATATAGAGAGATATAGTTTGTAGCTTCATTGCACAAATATGTTTAAATGTTTAGTTGTAAGAGGTGTTGGCCTCTTACAGGAAAAGAAGGCTTTTATGAAAAAAAAAGGCATTTATGAAAAAAATAGCAATTTCCCTGAGCATTTGGGATAGCAAGTACAGTGAACAATGACATTATATTCTACCCATTCATTTCTCCCCATTCAGTGTTCTTGCCTTGTAATCTATATAAACAGGTTGTACCTATGTAGGTGCACATACAGCTCTCCAAAATTCATCCTTTTTCACTACAACATGGAATGTAATAAGAACAAATTCAATTTTTCTATCAATTTGAATATTTAAAAATGTTAGCCATGGCTATGATGTACAATTATAATTTTAAAATGGAATCTCCCGTTTCAAATATTTTACAATTATAAAAATTTAAAATTTAAAATAACACAAGATAATAGTAATAAAACAAAAAGAATGTTATATCTGTCAGTAGCCATAAGGGGCGAGTGTAAAGGATATTAACATATCAGTGATTGTTGTTTAACATCCATATTTAGGTTATTTGCCTGTAGTAGAGAATTGGCTTTGGACATGAGCTTCTTAAAAATGAGGATGCTTTTTTTGACTTGCCTAGAAAATTAAGTTGCTGGACTCCCAGCATTGTGTCCTTACAATATACCAGTTCAATGAACAAAATTTTCACTGATGCTTGTTAGTATGGGAAAAACAGTATTTTAAAAATATTGATACTAATATCCAATTTCATTGCTATATACGAGAACTTAAATAATTGGACAAAAATGCAGTATTTCATGCAAGAATTAGTTTGTGCAATTATTATAGCACCACCAACTGGATGACACAAATGTAAAAAGCAAAACGTATTCCTTCCTTCATTTTCCCAATGAAGCTCCTCATTTGGACAAAAAAAGCTACTTTCATTGTGAAAAATATAAATATCTGACCTATACAAGTTCATTAAGGTTTCAGGGTGTCAGTGATATTTATCCCACTTTAAAAGTCATTCCTTGAAATAAGCTGCATTTTTGAGTTAGAAAGCACTGAAAATCTCCATTTCTGCTGCATAGCCAAGTATGTTTCTAATATTATGGAAGGTGACCTTCGGATTAAGAAACTGATCTGCCTATAGGTGTCAATGTCCCACAACTCTGATCTAATGTCTGACTCATTATTGCCTTAAAATTAGCCTTCTTTAATTGCTGAGTTTTATTTACAGTACATTTTGGACCATTAAATAGATCTTTTATATATATATAAAACCTTCAAACATTTTTCACTTGGAAACAACTGCAGAAAATCTCCACATTTAATGGTTCTGGGTGAAGGCTTTTTAGCCATAAACCTCTTCCCTAAACTGTTGTTAGCCTTGTTAAAGAAAAAATTGCAACTTCTCCCCTATGGGATAAAAGCCATATAAAGCCAGAGCCTATTAGATATACAAACAGATATACAAAATAAAGCTGTTTTGGGGGGTCAGCATTTGTGGATTTAGATGAAAAAGGCTTAGACCTAATGGTCAAAGGTTATGCAAATAAAGTATCCTTAGTGCCATAATTGTGCTATGTGTTTCTTTTTGTCCCTGGGCAAAAATATGGCCAGAGTTCTCTTAACAACTCATTTGGGTTACTACAGCGCCTTTAAAACTATCTAGAAGCTGTAGATGGAACAACATATTGAATTCAAACTGGCAGCTTAGACAAAATAGTCAGTATATCTGGTTCTGAAAAAAAAAAGTCATCAGTTGTTTCTGTCTCATTACACTAATCAAAATGTTGTTCAAGGACAGTTGCTTCCATATGCATGTCTGGTTCTTACCAGAATCATGGCGCTGTGTGTGTGTGTGCGTGTGTGTGTGTATTAATCCAGAATATTTTACAGTTAATTCACCTTCGAGGTTAACATTCCTCCCCATCAGAACATGCTATCATGTTACTTATTTTTGAACTATGCTCCGGAAACTTATAGTGTATAATAATGAATAAATCAAAATCTGGAATAACAAAATATCGTATCCAGAATTATAAGTGAGTAAGAATTAATCAAGCATCTGCACAGCCCAATTTTCACTTACTGTCCTTTACCATGCAGTAGCTTTTACCATGGAATTAATCTATTTTCATACAATATCCATTATGTAGGGTGAAAAAATACACTGGAAATCTTTTTCATAGGAGAGGTACAATTCTTCAATTCCAATGCAAACACTATATTTACAGTTTGCAAACATATTTTAGTAAGTTTTTTTTAATGTTAACATGAAATACTAAATATAGTACACTTTAGAATGATGTTATTATACTGGCAGAAAGATGAAGCCTCTATTGGTATACCTATTTGTTATGTTGGCATTGGATATGCAAGCCTGTCAAACTGGCGACCCGTGGGCCAGATATGTCATGCACAGGCCACACCCACCTTGGTTCCATAAAGCCAAAAAACATCCAGCCAGTGATGTGATCGAGTTTGACACCTGTGGAATACAGCAATGTCCTGAAAAAAAATACAAATGAGCATAAGATGCAGATCTGACCAAAAGTGCAGTACTCAATTATTTTTCACACAGTAGTCAATCATATGTTTTAAATAAAAAGAACTCTCCCCTCTGAAGTATTCAGCTGTTCTTCATGCAGTTATAAATATGTGAAGAAAATAATACCTATCTCTTTATCTTTGTAGTCATCCACTCCCCTACTGTTCACATTTTGAAAGTATCTATAATAGACAAGTCTGTTCTACCAGCATTCTTAGTAGGATCACATGTTTTAAACATTTGGTCACTTCCTGTATGAATGAAAAGGATAAGATGCAACCTCAGACTCTTCTTGTAATAACAACATAATGACAATTGAAAAGAGCTTAGACAATATAGAATCAATTATCTTTGCTGACTGCAGTTGACCAATGTTTCAGCTTGCTAATGGAGCAGAGTATATCTGTGAATATGATCAGTTTTGAATAGGCTTTTTGAATATATTTGTAGAAGATGATTCGTTGGTTGGCAGCAGCCAATTAACATTCCCAAATGGCATTATGATTGTGTTTAATTTATATATTTTTTTTCTGTGCACAGGCAATAATAAATAGTACCATCACTCCCAACATGACATTCACAAAAACATCACAAAAGTTTGGTCAATGGGCAGATAGCAGAGCAAATACTGTTTATGGCTTGGGATTTTCCTCTGAGCATCATCTCTCAAAGGTAAGTATTTCCACCAGGTATGTGAATGCTTGGAGCTAGGCAGTAACAGGCAGAGTTATGCAAAAAGATAAATTTGTATAACACTCTTAGAAAGTTAATGCAATTTACTTTTGAAAATATATTCTCTGCTAAGCAAAGACCTCTTAAGTAAACCTTGAAGTTGCATGATGTCTTCCTCCAATTCACATAAACAAAATTTAATTATTGGTTTGGGAATAATAATTCCGAACATTTCTGATATATGCTTCTTGACTTTTTTTAAAAAAAATATTCTTTCTTGATTGTGTTCCAAAACATGAATTTGATTGCTAAAATAACCATATATAAAATGATCATTGGCTATTAACATCCCAGATTAAATTTAGAATTCTTAAAAGCCTCTGAGCTTTGTGTTTGGATCTAGGCTGTTTTCCTGCATATGTATGTTTTTATGCTTGACATTTCAGAGTTTTGGATAGCCATTTACGATGTTTGTGTAGATGAAAGCACCGTCACATCTTAGCATGATGATATTAATTTGGAAAAACTGCCCTTGTGTGTGTGGAATGGATCTTTTTACAAATTTTTGTAAAACCAGTGCCTCGTTTGTTTGTATTACTGTATTCATGGGGTCTGAACCTAATTATTTTAGTTATGTATACCTGCTTTAAGAACTTGCTATATGCAGTTTTCTGCCATGGTTGAAAAGAATGTAAAACTCAAAACTCAATGAAGAGATGAGATTGACTTAATGTTACCCTTCTTCAATTTTCCATGTAAACTTGTTCAGAAACTCTGTAGGCTCTTTTAAGCATGTATCAGATATGGACAGGTATAAATTTATTCCTGAGAAAGAGTACTTAAATATCCAAAGTATGTATCAGATATGGACAGGTATAAATTTATTCCTGAGAAAGAGTACTTAAATATCCAAATAAATATTTGCTTAATTTCGTTTCAGAAACTCCCATGTACAGAGCAAAATAATGCTAGGGAGAAGATTTTAGCTGTATTTACAAGAGAGATTTTACAGGAAGCACTTACTCAGAATTCAAACTCATAGCTTACAATTGTAGTATGTTGTACAATTGTAATCCAAGATGTAGAATTCATGGTAGATCAAACTGCTTGTACATTATAAAAGCGTTATTAGACTGGCATCTATTTTTCCTAATGAGTTTATTTTGTTTCAACTGTTTTTCAGTTAGCTTTTTTATACAGTAATGATCATTTACTGCTGTTTCAGATCCTAACAGCATTTACAGCATTGTACTATATATGAATTTAGGGGAGGCAGTTGCCCTGTTTTTCATTTTATGCTTGTTTATATTTAACTCAATTTGCCACTTTATAGATGTCCTTATAGCTTTGAGAAACTCTTTCAGGATGCTTTGCTGCTTCACATCCTAATTATTTATGAACAACTTAAAAAGCATTAGTCCCAATATTGATTCTAAGTGGATCCAATTATTTCCACACCTCCATTGTGAAAACTAATTCCTTTTACTGATTATTTTAAAATATTTAATCAGATAATGTTGTTGATCCATAAAACCTATAGCCATTTAATGATCTACTCTGATCTCTTTATCCCCTAAATTGGCCCAGGAGCATTTGATGAGAAATTTGGTTGAAAGCTTTTATAAAGCTGACTATAAAGTACTCTTGTTCATATTTTCAAAAAACACTAAAAGATTAGTGATATAGAATTTAAATTTGAACAAGCCAGATTGATTCTTCTTTTGTTTTTTTTAAAATAATATTATTCAACAAGTTATTAAGAGCTAATGTTGAACAAGTTGGTCTATGTAATTTAAGCAAAACAGACAAAATTAATTGATTCAACTTTTCTTGTAATCAACTAATTACAACTTTAGTATTCCCTATTTTCCTGTGTTATTCAGTTGACTGACTATATCTCTCTATTGTTTCCCTCTTTTAAACTATTTAAAGACTTTTGATTGTTGCTCTTACTATAAATAGAAAGACGTCCCTCCATTCTTTTGACACTCCTTCTCTGTTTTGGTTTTGTACAAATATGTTTTTGAAGTTTTTTGTTCTTTGAAATGAGTAAACATTTTCCTTAATAATATTTGTTATAATCTCTTTGACTAAAATTTATCTTTCTTAACTTTTAATATATAAGAGTTTTAATAGTAATTTGAATGACTGTCAAACATTTTCAGAAGATTGATATGATGCAGGGGTACTCTTGTCTTCCAAGGTCATTACAAAAGTTGATCTTTCTTATATTTTCTTTCAACTTGATAAATTTTGAAAAAGAGTTGAAATTGAATATGCTTCTTTAGAATTCTTTTTTCTCTTAATTAGTAAATACAATAAATTTATTACAATGGTGGTCTAAATCTTACTGTATTCAATAAGACCCCATTTTGTATTAGATCCTAAGAGTATTATAAAAATGCATTCACCTTTGGCTCCCTGATTTTATTCTCCATCTCAAACTATTTTGAGAAGTTTATTATTAGCATTTTTGATGAAAACTTACTAATGGGATCTGTTATTATTTATTCACATTAATTATGTAGAGGAGTTTGTCTTTTTGAAATTTCTAAATAGTTTGATCTTTATGTCCTCTTTAATTATCCTGCATTTAGGATGGTTTACTATTATTCTAAAGTTTGCATTCAGATTATCAGGTTTCCATTGTATCTACTGGAGTACTCAGGATCTCCAGGTTTGGCTTAGTAGCTACTAACATTAGCAGAGAAACCATATGCAATGCTTATTTTTTTCCACATCTTGTTATTTTTTTAAAATCACATCTTGCTGTATTCTTGTGACTTAATTCCATCATGCTGCTTGTTAGGACGGTCAATAATATTTTCATTCTACTAGGGATAATTTTTTTCTGAACCAGTTATTCCATAGTTCTCTGCTTTCTCCTAGGTATCTGTATAAAACTTTTGTTAGTATCTTGGAGAAGTAGCAGGACAAATCTTAGTTATGAATTGTTTAGAATCCTGTGTGTGTGTGTGTGTGTGTGTGTGTGTGTGTGTAGAGAGAGAGAGAGAGAGAGATCAGAGTTGAACAAGAGTCAGTGCTAGCACAGATGATATTCCCTAATTGGGTAATGAAACATCTGAAGTAAACAACCAAGCCTGTACAGAGAATTAAATCAGACAGCACCAAGGACTCCACAACTGTTTATAATGCCTGTTTAAGTGGTCTTTTGGTTCAGCATTCGGTGACAAGTTATAAACATTCAATTTCTATCTCAGTTGCAGAACTCACAAGTTAACCAACCTAGGTGCTTTTCAGGCTTTAAATCAAAGGCAGTCTGGAAACGCTAGGAGTCCTTGATAAGAATTCTAGGAGCCATTCAAATTAGAGAACCCTGAATTACCTTGACTAGCAATGTATAGTTTTTATTTGGAAGAAAATTAAATATTTTTGCATATTTTAAAATATGATTGGAAGTAAATTTGGGAACAAATTAATTTAAAAGAGTACATTGATTACAAATAAAGGTAGTCCAAGCTTAGCAACCATTCAAACTTATGATGGACCTTCCCAGAGCTTACAGCCTGTTTTCAAAGTCCATGTGATTGCATTTTGGGCACTTGGCAACAACTAGTTCACAACTATGTTTGTTTTCAGCATCCCCATATGACCATAATTTTGGTGGTTTTTTGGTTTTTTTTTGCTTGTTTCTGCCTTTTAGTTTGCTTCAAGCAAAAAATTCCTATTGGGAAAAACAGATTTTCCTAAGGACCACATTGTTCACTTAACAATTGTGGCATATGTTTAACAACCACTGCAAAAAGGTCCTAAAACCAGGCACCAGGATGACCTTGTTGACAACCACTGTGAATAATGACTCTAATTCTGGGTTCAATTATAACCATAAGTTGTGGATTACCTGTAAAAATCTTGTGGCATCTTAAAAAATAATTGATCAGGCATAGCTTAACTGCTATGCTTCTTATGCATGTACTATTAAGGTATCACAAAATGCTACGGCTTACATATACTTTATATTTACTGATTAGGTATTCCCTTCACTACTAAAATATGTTGTAATTTAGTGCACAAATTACTTTGATTGTTCTCACCACAAATTCTTATGGATGCATTTCTGAATGTTGGAAGAGTAGCTGCTATACTTTCTGAACGTGTCTTGAAATGGTGAAGACATCTAGCTTTTCCAGAGAGAGATATGGATGTTAGAGTTGTGATTTGAGGTTAAGCTTTCAATTCCAAAAAAAGTATTATACTTGGGGTTTATTTACATATTTATCTGACTTGCCATGATAAATAGTTGCATAGTTTCATGTAATTCCAAATCATTTAATAGTGCCATAAAGGCAGTCCTTGTTTAACAACTACTCGTTCAGTAACCATTCAGAGTTAGCAATGGTTCTACAAAACAAGATTGACAACTGGTCCTAGTGGTTGCAGTTGTTGCCACATATCCCAGACACATGATTGTGATTAGGCACATGGCAGCTGGCTTGCAATTACAACGATCACAGCATACTGAGTCACATAGTTGCCATTTGCAACCTTCACTGCCGACTTCTGCAGGCAAAGGCAAAGAGAAGAGATTGCAATGGATTGTATGACCCTGAGATTTGCTTAACAAGGGCAAATGGAACTGCTGCAACTCCCATCGTAAGTTGATGTGGTCAGGTGGTCTGCTGTGTAACTGCAAGGCTTAGCAGTGGAATTGCTGGCCCAAATTTAAGCAAAAACTACCTATAGTTCTAAATAGTTCCACACAGGCCCCTGTAAAGAGTATTTCATAAAAGTGTAAGGATGATGATAACTCTGTATCCTTTGTTGTCCTGAGCTCTCCTTTCCTCTGGTCCCCCATCTCCAAGTGTAAATAATATATAAGAATTAACAGCCAGAAGTACCTAATTAGGAGTTCTGATAGGCATATATTAAACCATGAATTCTGAAAAAAATATCTTCGCACCATCCATAATGATTCGAAACAAAGATTCTTTTTCTCCTAAGGAGTCTTTCTCCAAAATAGAAAGGGAAGCCTTGGATTCAACACAAAGGATTGTGATTTATATCCTCTGAGTCCAAAATATACTGTGTACAGAAATGTCAACAACATTCAGAGTGCTGTGCTGAAAATAAATGATCAGAAAGCTGAGTGTTTGAAAATGAATGGTTAATATTATAAAGATGAAGAAAAATCTTGAACAAGAAAGTGTTCTGATTAATTTCTGGGACCTGCAGAAATTGCTGAATTAAGACCAACTTAGCTAGTGTGAGATATGTGGAAAGAGGCCCAATGTAGTGGTAGCTTAACCAAATAGGTAATTTTTGGCTACAGAGCAGATTCCAAAATAAATACAAGTAGTCCTCAATTTATAGCCATTCTTTTAGTGACCATTTGAAGTTACCACAACACTGAAAGTTTGCACACTTACGATGGTCACATGATCAAAATTTGAGCCACATGATCAAAATGTGACCACTTGGCAACTGGCATGTATTTATTTATTTAATTTAATTTGTTTGTCAAACATGTACAAGATAGCAGATATAGGTATAAATATAAGCAAAAACAAAGAAAGTTAAGTACAGATCAATGGGGACAGTAAGACAGGGACGGTAGGCATGCTGGTGCGCTTATGCATGCCTCCTTTACGGACCTCTTAGGAATGGGGTGAGGTCCACGGTAGACAGATTGAGGCTGAAGCCGTGAGAGTTTGAGGCTGTAACAATGGAGTCAGGTAGAGCATTCCAGGCCTTGACCACTCTGTTACTGAAGTTGTATTTTCTGCAATTGAATTTGAAGCAGTTTACCTTGTGTTTTTATTGATTGTTTGCCCGTGTATTATTGGTTGAAGCTGAAGATTGTCCTGGGATCATGTGATCACCATTTGCAACCTTTCCAACAAGCAAAGTCAATGGGGGGGAGCCTAATGTGCTTAATGACTACATCATTCATTTAAGGACTGCAGTGATTCATTTAACATCCATGTCAAAAAAGGTCATAAAATGGGGCATAACTCATTTAACAACTGCCTTGCTTAACAACAGAAATTTGGTGCTCAACTTAGCAAATTTGTTTGTTTTGTTTGTTTTGTTTTGTTTTATTTATTTATAGGCCGCCCTTTTCCCTGAGGGGACTCAGGGCGGCTTACAATCAAAATTTGGTTGTAACTAGAGGACTACCTGTGTATGTTTGGCTCATTTCAGTCTGGTATATCAATCTAAATAAAAACATAAAGCTTTATCATATACATACTGATGACCGAATGGCAACATTTAGTTGAAACCTCTACCTACACATCTTTGTCACCTGAAATGGCCTCTATATTTGCATCAAACAATCAGCACATAAAGGAGAATTTGTTTTATTCTCTGAGGCCAAAGTATTATACTAAGGATGTTTTACTCAGAAAAAGGGCTACACAATGCATTATGTGTTAGCACAGGGGTGTCAAACTCGCGGCCTGTAGGCTGGATGTGTCACGTACTGGCCATTCCTACCCACATTTTAGCGAAGGGGGAAAAAGTTGCGATACATAACAACAACATGACGTTGCAAGTTTTACACCTCTGTGTTAGCAAATGGTACTTCCTCCCATACATATGTGAGGTGCATTCACTAGCAAACCTATGAGGTGCCCATCTATACATGTGAACTCCTTAAAGTGCCCTTGTAAGAAAACATTCATAGCAAACTGAATTGACCTAAGTGAGAACAAGTGGGAAAGAATCAACTAGGAACCTTTTGCCCCAGTAAATTGTTTCTAGTCACTGACTACATCTCAAAAATAGTGACCTGTTCTGTCCCCACTTCTCCGCTCGTTAAACAGACGACAGGCAAACAACTTAAAAGGAACTATCTTTATCAGTTCTCGGCTCAAACTGACTGCGAGCCCAAAAATAACATAAATACAGTCTCTGACCAGATAACAGAATACCAAACAAAAACTCTTACAACGCAATGCACTTCTCCAAGTGTATCCTTGAATCAGGGTTACAGAAACAAAGCACTTTTCCAAGTGTATCTTACATAAACCACGACTGATGATCAATCAATGTTGAACGAACCAAGGAATGTTGACTTCTGCAACTAGGGCGTGGCACCATCCGTCCTTTTATCTCCAGAACCCAACTAACGAGCCCCAGCTGCATAATTAATCTTGCATCCTGAAAAGACTCACAGAAGACTGCTGCTGAGTCACAACACTGACCTAAGAAGAAGGGATACGTAATAAGATCACCCAGATGGTTTTATCAAAACTATTCCAACCTCCTGCTGAAATTTACACTGCATCTGCCCTTTTCTTTGTCTCTGAAATGCGGTGGGCCAAAATTATATGAGTTGTAGTTTTGCTTTTGATCAAGGCTGCTTAGCAAGCTGCCAATCCTTTGCTGGGAGTGCCAGTATACAGTTTTGTTGTTTGCATCCCTCATAAAATTATGTTGTATCTTCAAAGCAATTTGGTTGCTTTAGATTTTGGCCCCAACAATATTTATTCAAACGGCTTGATCTGCTCTGGCTAATTTCATAAAAGAACAAAAAGCAGAAGGGAGAAGTGCAAAATATAAACAAAAATGATCTTACTGGATCCAAACATGTTTCGTAAATGAGTTCCTTTCTCAAAAAAAAAAATAATGCAGAAGAAAATACTAATATCTAAAATGGCTCACTACTACAGGTTACTGTAAACTGCCCAGAACTCTTTGAAGTCAAGTGAATTAATCAAAATTAAAAATATTACTAAAATGTGTTATTCTTCTTAGGTTTACCCTAACTGATTCTCATTCCTAAAAGATTCTGTCCCAAAGAGAAAATGAAACACAGAAATTATTTTATCTAAGATGTTGGTCTCTTGGAATAGTGGCTAAGAGGAGCTATTGTGATTTATTACTGCCAAAGGGTATTGGTGACTGCTAAGGAAAAACTCGCAAAGGGAAAGATATGTTCCATATCAAACATAATTGCTAAATGTCTCCATTTTTAGCCTGTTAAAAGTGAGACTATTCAACAGTAAAATCTACTTCATTTATTATTATTTTTAGTAGAGCTGTCTTATTTTTTCCTCATAGTATTTTATGGCCATAAATCTGAGAAAATCTGGAAAATGTTTCAATGCAGGATATTCCTGTTCTGTTTTCTTATATTGTCTAAATGTTTTCCATTTCTGAAGAGCCCAAATACATTTTAGGATAGGGTACTATATGGCAACTTTTCAGGAAATGTCTCTTAATTGTCTATAGATTTGGTGAAAATAGAAGTTTTGTTTGTGTTTTTCACAATTAGTGCAATGATCAAGAGGGAGATGACCCTGTGATGGTCTTGCAATGATTATATCTTGTAGGTAACTAACCCTATCACTTTAAATTACTTTAGCAAGCATATCCTTGAGATTTCTAGTCCTCCTATCCCTGTGTTGGCGAACCTATGGCACACATAGTGATACGCAACACCCTCTCTATGGGCACGCAAACTGTCACCTCACTGCTGACACGCATGCATGCATGCTTCCCAGCGGCCAGCTAGTCTTTGGGTCTCTGCCGTGCATGTGCGGGGGGGCGGAGGGTATGGGTGGGACACATGTAGGCTGTGCACGCTTGCATTTTGGGCACTTGGTCTGGAAAAGGTGAGCCATCACTGTCCTATACTGTCTATGAAGCAAGGGATTATGTGATAATGTAGAATATTCTTGAGTAATTCTCAATTTATTTTTATTGTAGCCCAAGCTACAATAGACAGCAGATGACATTTGTGGAGTGATCAATAAACAGTTTTATTTCAGTATAGCTCAAATCAATCAGTCGGCAGAGATGGGTGACTGTCCCTCCCCCTACCATTCCTGACCACCTTATAGTTTTCTAATTCAAAAGTTTGGGCCAATGAGAATTGTAAGGCAATGGCCAATCACATGTCATCCCCACCTATTTACGCTTTCTAAGCACATACCCTCCCTGTGCAGTTTCTCTCCCCTCTTATCTGTGATTAGCTGCAATGGCTACGGAGTTCCAAAGGTGCTTTTTGAAAAAGCAACTGAACTTTGTCTTTTCTAATCCAGTTGAAAAAGCACCTTTGGGACAACCATGACCTGGATGACTGAGAATCTCCATAGACAATGGCTATCGAGGCAATGTCTTTCATCTTTCTTTCATTCAACCCTTGCAGCATCTCATTTACCCATAACCTTCCCCTGTCATGAACACTGCTGTTTATTACAACCTTTTAGCTCCTTTTAGCTTTTTCTTCTTCTTTGCTTTTTCAAAATTTAGCAACTATCACTGATCTTAGACACCTTATTGTAATAAATATTTTTAAATTTTGGGGTGCATTAGGAAAACCGATTCCAACAAGCAGTTGCATTTAATGTTTGAAAAGTGATCTAGAACATTATTTCTGAATTGTTTATAGATGAGAGGTGTCTTTCTTAAGGAGTGGGTTTTTATCATTTGTGGACAGTGGTCCTTGTTGGGAAGCTAGGATTAAGTAGTCTTTAAATGGTTATTGTTTAACAATCATGATAGTTATTCAGAGTCTTATATTGAAATGGATGATCTGGTTATTATCATATTGGATCACAAATGTTATATTTTGCTGTCCCATTTTTTTCAGCTAATTGAGAAATCTTTGTAATACTACAGTATAAGTCTTGAAATCTTTTATACTACAGTATAGATCTTACTCCCAAAGAGCAATTATGTGTTGATATACCTCCAGCCAATGGTTTTATTATATTGGTTATCATCATTACTGACTTTTTTAATATTTTTGTTAATTTGGGGGGATGATTTTATTGAGCGCCTATGCTGTATGTTGGAAATTTGATGTAATTATCCAATATTTCCTTTCAGTTTGCAGAAAAATTTCAGGAATTTAAAGAAGCTGCACGACTAGCTAAGGAAAAATCCCAAGAAAAGATGGAATTAACAAGTACACCATCACAGGTATATTTGTCCTTGTTTTTGATTAAAATGGATATAATTTATTTGGAATGTAGTTTTGATTTACCCATTTGGGACATTCATTTGCATAGTTTCATGCAGGCTGCTTCAGTTCTGTGCCTGTTGCACCAGATACTGTAGATCGGATAAAGAGTTTATAGCTTTTCAAGTTGATATTGCAAAAGTTGAAGCAATTTATACGTTGTTGCAAGCCATTCTTTCTAAACATTATGGAAATTAAAAGGATCCTTGAGTGAATATAGGATGCATATAGAAAAATATTTACTTCATCCTGAATATATATACCCAATATGGGATGCAAAGCCTTCTTTTCTTAGTTTGCTTCCATATCGTGTCCATTGTGTGTATGCATGGGGTGGGGAGAATTTGCTAGAAGACAGACACTAGACAATTCCACTTGTGTGCACATGCTATTAATATATAACATATTAATTTAATGTATTTTGCTGTTCGGGTTTTTTTCCCCAGTTTTGTATGCTGCTCAGAGTCCACTGGAGTTGGGTAGTAAATAAATTCAAATAATCCAATTATAATAATATAAAATACATGGGGATTATATTGTGATTCTGCACCTGCCATCTTCCTGATTTTGACATCCTCCTGTGCTATTTACTTTATACAAATAGTTTCTTCCTGCCTCACCACCTCTTTGTCTGATGTTTATGTTATAGTGGTTTGCTTTCTCCATCTGTTTTTGTCTTCCTTATGACCTTATAAACTAGCAGCTTCTTCTTTCTCCTCTTGTAATTCTTCCTTTTTCAGTATCCTTGTAACCTCTTACCTCTGATTGCTGTCTTCATGTGGATCTTGTTTGGATCATGTGCAAATTGATATTCACATTTCAACATCCTTTGCTGATCTTGAAAAGCCAGGACAGATCAATCTTATGGCTGTTGGCTACATTGGGAACTTGTGGAAAAAATATTATAGAAGAAGGCAACCACTTCCATATACTGTTAAGTGGAGCTGAATTTGGTTCCTTCCATTTAATAAAAAGTGAGAAATAATCACTGGGTTCTAAAGCGTTTGAAAGAGGGTGCTTTGCAAAGCAGGCTATTGGAAATAAAGCATTTGCATTGAAGGAATGAAGGAGCTACATTGTCTGCACACCTCATGCAGCTGCTTTGAAAGCTGCCCCTTGTTCTCTATATTTATATCTACATGCTGAGATGACCTTTCCGTTAGGATCTCCTGCAAAATGGCTGAGCACGTTTAGCCTGAGAGAAAGCTGGGGCTGCTTTATTACTTTGTGGAAGAGAGGTTTTGTATAGTCACACTAATCACTTTATTGAGATATTTGCTTGAGTAATCACTGTCTTTCTAAGAACTATAACCCCAAAGATAGGTAAATTAATGCAGTAGTCTAGGCAATATGTAAACTTTAAGTGCCCTGAGCTTTAAAGAGTAGCAAATGCCTCAGGCTATTCCTCTTGCTAAAGATCTAAAAATGACCTGACTGAGAAGAACACAGTATGCCAATTGATTGTAATGGTTGGTTCTATCTATCTATCTATCTATCTATCTATCTATCTATCTATCTATCTATCTATCTATCTATCTATCTATCTATCNTCTATCTATCTATCTATCTATCTATCTATCTATCTATCTATCTATCTATCTATCTATCTATCTATCTATCTATCATCTATCCATCCATCCATCCACCCACCCACCCATCTCGCGCTTACTGTAAAAGGTGTTATCAAGTACTGTTTTTAAATGTCATTATAATCTAACTGTTTATACTTATAGTCTAATCCCTAATACGTCTCATATAATAGCAGGGATATAGATAGGTAACTGTTGGCTGAGTATGTGGATGCTGTAAATATTTCCATTCCTGTGTATCATATGGATTTTGAGCTGATGAGCTTTTTCACGCAAAAGTCAGTACTGTTTGATTTAAACATTGTCTTGATTGGCCAAATAGTATGTTAAATATACTGTAATTAGACATTTTTCAGCTATTTTTATATTTATCCATACAATAGATATTTTATCACTTTTGACTAAAACAAGAGTAGATTTAAAAAGCATTAAGTTAGTGAAGCACACTTAATGCACACTTAAGTAGATTGTATAAATGGGTCAAACTTTGTATATTCTGAATATCAAGAACTCTGTTGGAAAAGGATGAACAATTGGGTATTGGTAGAATTTTCTCTATAAGAGAAATGTTAATTTATACCCAGATATTTGAGATACGTTCATGCTATCCCAAAGTTGAAATTTGGAATATTTATGGCCCAAGTACATTGCTAATTATAAAAATTTGAAAGCTGGGTATTTATGTTTTCTTCAGGAAGAAGAAATAAAGGTCCCCCCCCCCCCCCCCCCCCATTATTTAAAGGTTGAAATTCAGTGCATACAGTATGTACTGTAAAGTCAACTGATAATTAGTAAAGTCTGAAATACTGTATATTTTCATTTGAACTCATAATATAAAATGTGTCATTTTCTGATCATGAAAATTATCATTCTAACACAAAGATAGATGAGAGTGTCATTAAATTGAAATAGAAATTTATTTATATTTTAATTAGTTAATTTTAAATTAAGTATAAGAGCTCCTTTAGGACGGGCTGTCCACTAAAAATCTGCTTCTTCAGATTGAATTTAAAAAGATGCTTCCAAATATTGTAGAATGCAATGTAAGTTCCATCTTGCAGTTCTTCTCCCAGTATTGCAATTTTCCTTTCTGTCCACCATGTGATCATCCATTCAACTGCTTTAAAAATGAAAAGAACTACTATGCTATATTTACAGACTTCCGAGTACAGTACCATTTTGGATTCTAATATGAAGACCACTGTGTAGCTTTAAATTCTATACATTAGGAAGAAAAGTAGAAAGTTAGTATAACCTCTAGGCCAACGTTTCTCAACCTTGGCCGAGTTGAAGTCCCCCCCCCCATTTTCAAGTGGCCAAGGTTGAGAAAAACTGTTCTAGCCCAATTCATGAGGACATAAAAATCTATCTATCAATCTAGAACAGGGGTGTTTCATTGAGGGCCGCATCAGGATTGTGTTTGACCTTGGGGGGGGGAGCGGAGTGGAGATAGCCAGGGTGGGCATGACCAGCTTAACATCACTTGTGTCAGGGGCGCCTGTGGTGGCCCGAGCACTCTGCCAGAGAAAACTGGTAATGAGCTTCATTTTTAGCTGCAGTGACTTCCTGCTACCCTCTGCCAGTGAAAACAGAGCTGTGTGTGGCCCTCTCGAGCTCCATTTTCACTGGCAGAGGCATTGCGGGGTAGTCCTTTGCTGTTTCCAGGGCAGCCCATGGGCCGGATCTAGCCCCCAAGCCTTTAGTTTGACACCCCTGATCTAGAACTATTTTGAAAGCACACCATGGAAACAGCAAATGAAAAATTCTAGAAAAGGAAAAGCCCAACACAGCTCCTACTTTTAGCTGAAAATGAAGGTGAATGGATTCATTCATCTCTGAGTTTTAGTTGGCATTTATTTATTAGCTAATTCCATATGCAATAATTCATTTGAACATGAATGCAGGTAGAATGTTGGTAGATTATGCTCTTTTATTTAACATTGTGAGATTTTTCTATTTCTGGGGCAGAAAGATACCTAGAAAACTGTGGCACCTTCAAATTCTTAGGCCCTCAGAATGAGGCACTTGTGCTATGCCAGAAATTCTGCCCTTTTGGGAATATAATATCCGCAACATCACAATACACATAGAAAGAGCATCACAACACTGTCGGAATTTCTGTGACCCTCAGATGCTGCTACATGAAGCAGAACATCTTTTGATATAGTTGATTGAAACAATAGATGAGAGATGATTTGATGTACACACAGACTGCAGCTCTCTAGCTTCCTTTTTTCTGCTTTAAAGGTTCAATAGGATACTGAACGCTGGTGTTTTCTAAGACCTACAATATATTTAATAACTGTAGCATTTTATTTGATATATTGACACTATATTGTATAGACATGAAATATGTAACCATTCCTTTTTTTTAAAGGAATCTGCGGGTGATATTCAATCTCCTCTTACACCGGAGAGCATTAATGGGACAGATGATGAAAGGACAATGCCAGAAGTGACACAAAATTCAGAACCAAGGGCTGAAGCAACCCAGAATGCATTGCCATTTGCGCATAGGTACAGATTCCATTCCCAAATCCTTATTAAGTAATATGTTTGTGTGCTTTTTTTTTTGTTGTTGTTCAATGGCTTCTTTTTTATTTGGTGAATTTAAAGTTCTTGCATGACTGGTGGGCTTACAGCCATGGATACAACTTGTTTCATTTGCTGTTTTTCTACTAAAATGACATGATTTGGTATAGAAAAGAAGTTGATCTCTTCAATGATGAGAACTACAGCAGAAAGAAGAATCATAGCTCTGCCAGTGGGGGTATTTTCCCCTCCTGTCTGCATTTCTTCTCCTCTATGCATCTTGGCCATGGACTAGATTTAAATTAAGGTTCAAATGATTTTGGGGGGAGGAGTATGGGTGTGTGTGAAATACATCAGTAAAAGCACTTTATTTCTACTCTTCACATAGGAAGCAATAATTGAATGCCGGGAATTTTAATATTGTAACGTTAAAAGGGCTTCCCCCGATATTTTATTCAATATCAGGTTCTTAGAATCCAAATAATACTTGCAACAAATCATTGCAGAGTGTGGTGTTCTTAGTCCAAGTACCATGCTCTTTTCAAGCATGACCCATTTCTCTTTCTCTGGCTCCAATTCTGGTGCTCCATGAATCTGCACTGACCTTTTAGGTACTTGAGAAAGCTGCTAAACTCTCTTTAAAAATGTACATTTCTTCAAATCTTAAGATGCTTCCAAACAGTTATATCTCTCTTATATATTGATGGTATCAATACCATCCACACTGGGTATGTCAATACATTGCATGCACCTCCTGTTTGGTGGGATGTGGAGAGCACTATGTTGCCTTGGAATGCAGTTTTTAGATATTCTGGATTGCATAGACTAGTCTGAGAATGCTTGGTGTGAAATTAGTTTTTGGTTGTGCTTTTGGCAGATTGACCAAAATGTGTCTCAGAACTGACAAATGCTGTCCTTATTATTAGAGAAGGTTGCAAGTGGCAAAGATATGATTAAGTTTGGCAACCTAGTCTACACCTTTTCTGTCACACTAAAGAACTCTATGGGTAGTTCTCAAAGTGCAACCATTTGTTTAGCAACTGTTTGAAGTTAGAGTGGCACTTATCACCAGTCCTTGCATTTATTACTATCACAACATCCCAATGGTCATATGCTCAGAATCTGGATGCTTGGCAACTGGTATGTATTTACAATGACTGCAGTGTCCTGTGATGTGTTGGTCATGTGATCTCTCCATTTACAACTTTCCCAGTCAGTTTCCAACAAGCAAAATCAATAAGGGAGGAGAGATTCATTTGCTGGTTGTGTGATTCACTTAACTGCAATGAGTCACTTAACAGCCATGGCAAGAAAGGTCATAAAATTCAAGCAACTCACACTTGAAAGCTGAGCAACAGAAATTTTGGTCCCAATTGTGATTGTAAACTGAGGACAACCTGTATATGGGACCTTGAGTGACCAAAGTCGTGACTGAAATCACTATAGGAGCATGCATTGATGACAAAATGACTAGAAAACAATGCAGGCCAAGTATATGAAGGATATGCAAATCAAATGAAAAGGGAGATTTTATATATAAAATCTGGATATACATGTACTGTATGTGTGTGTGTGTGTGTGTGTGTGTGTGTGTGTGTATACAGGTGAAACTTGAAAAATTAGAATATCGTGCAAAAGTTCATTTATTTCAGTAATGCAATTTAAAAGGTGAAACTAATATATGAAATAGACTCATTACATGCAAAGCAAGATAGTTCAAGCCGTGATTTGTCATAATTGTGATGATATTATTTCACCTTTTAAGTTGCATTACTGAAATAAATGAACTTTTGCACGATATTCTAATTTTTTGAGTTTCACCTGTATATATAATTTTATTCAATATAAAGATAAATATACTAACTGAAAACTAAAATTTGCAATATATATTGCACATTTTAGTTTTTAGTTAGTGCATGGCATAAATATTCTATAGCTTTTTCATGTATGGAATATTGGAAGGAGGTAGGAACATTCATCAGATATAATGTTTCTGGCTATGGTGGTGCAGTGGTTAGGGTGCAGTACTGAAGGCCACTACAGCTGACTGTTATCTGCAGTTCAGCGGTTCTAATCTCACCGGCTCAAGGTTAACTCAGCCTTCCATCCTTCCGAGGTAGGTGAAATGAGGACCCAGACTGTGGGGGCGATATGCTGACTCTGTAAACCACTTAGAGAGGGCTGAAAGCCCTATGAAGTGGTATATAAGTCTAACTGCTATTGCTATTGCTATTCTTCTTTCCCATTTTTTAAAAACAAACTTCAACAATTAATCAGACATTTGAAACATGGTTTTTCAACAATGAGAAATGCAGATAATTTTTATTATAATATTGTATCTTGTTATAATGTTATAATTACGAGTTTAACTTAAATTGCAAATTTTGGATAAAACAAAGGTCTTTTTTATAGAAAACCTGGACATTGTCAGCCATTGTCTTGAAATATTTAATATTTTTGTAAAGAGATTGAGCGTAAACTTTGAAAAATATTTTTATAATATATAGCACAGCACTAAAACATATTTTAAGTGAATCTAATTGGTTAAATTGCTATGTGCTGCTCTGGTTCCATAATAGTAAATTTATTCTAAATGGAAAGAAATGTTAAGATTCTATAAATATTTACTATCTTTAAAGTTATGTCCATGCCTGAATACATGCTTTTGTAATGATTGCCAGTCCACTGCTGAAATAGACATATACTTTTTTCTGAATATCACCTGAATGAATTTTTCATGGGAAAAAATTGAGAGGGATTTTAAAATTTTGAGGGGTTTTTTTGTATTTAAAAAATATCCCTTTCAATTAAAGTCAAAAGTTATTTTCTATTGTGTATTTTTGTAAGAGTATTACCCTCTAATTGAAAACTGAAGTCTGAGAAGGTTGTCTTCATATCTTTATCAAATAGGTTTAAGTAAGAACTATCTGTCTTATTCTATTCCTTTCTGCATTTTTTCTCTGTTAAAGGCATATATAGCATAAAGGCAGGTTATACATTTTACATATAAAAATAAAAACTATTTAGTGCATACATAACTTGCGAAAAAAATTGAACTTAACTGCTTGGAACAGGGTGAGACCACATGTATATTACCCAACCTATCCCTCTTGCTTAAATACATTCTCTTTGATTTCTTGACTCTTGGTTTGAGTTTGAGTTCCATTTGGGAAAAAGCCAGATTGCAGAACCTGTAGTGGAAGTCCTGTTATAATCCCTTACATCTCACCATGATGGCTGAGCTCCTGGGAGGATATTAATGAAATGTCTGCAAAATATCCTGAATTAAAACAGCTACTTTGAATCTGAAATACCTCTTGCAATATTACTAGGAGTGGCACTGTTGCTTGGAACATGTCTGATAAGGTCACCACTGTTACAAAATTCAAACTTTTGGCACACTACTAGTTTTAATCCAACAACATCGGAAGACCATCAAAGTCTCCATCCCTGTCTAAAAACACAGCATTAGGTGTAAGAATTGAGCTGAAGGAAGAAAACTATTGAAGGCCAGTTGTGATTGCAGCTGACACATGGCAAATTGCACATGTTGCTTATTGCCTTTCATCTTGTTTCTGTGAAAAGCAGAAGCTAAGCTATCTGATGTGGCTTTTTGAAGCTTATAGAGACAGTAGGGATAGTGTTTTAAAGAATGTAGCAACCTGAATTGTGCCAACTTTCTGTCCCTTCTAAAGCAATTTTCTTGGGTTTAAGCTGCATGTTACTTTTTAATTTTAAATGGGCATGAGGTGTAAACATGAAAAGTTAGTTGGAAGTATTTTTATAATCATTTATCTCTAGGGTGTAATCCTAATAGATATTTTCCTGACGTTGCTCTTTACATCCAAAAAATTAACAGCACTTTTTAATGGATAAAGTTTGATTACAAAGGTGTGGTTTACAATAAATGCATCCCAGGCTTTGTTCCCTATTCTATTAATAGCTTTTATTTTATTTTTTTCTTCTTATTTGTTTTTTTTTTTAAATCTTGCAATATCAAATGATATATTTAGCTTAACATCTAAGAATGGCTTTATATTCTGAGTGATTAGGTTATCATCATACATGTAACTAACATGTGAATTAGAACCATGTAAAATAATTTGCATGAAAGTAAAGACTTATTATACCCCTTAAAGATTTAGCCAGTTTATTGTGGCACAACTTTTCTATAGGGTACAATTTGTGTTTTTTTTACAAATGCTTTTGTTTAAATCATCCAACAATGCAAAATTCCAAAATGTTTTGTTATTATTGGTAAAATATGGGTGATAATCAGAATATTTTTGTGGGAAAATACACCAAGCATTATATGAGTGTACATAGTAACTCATCTCTGACAATTTATAAATTTTAAATACATATTTTAAATGTTTAAATAGTGAATTTCCAGTAATACAGTGTTCTTGATTTAAAACTTTGGCAAAAGTTTTAATACAGAGTCCTGGTTTTGAAAAATACCACATACAGACACACGTGCTGTTTGCCTCTGCTTGTAAATTTAGCACACTTTCTTGTACAGAGATGTGTAAAGATTTTGTTTGAATGCCAACCAAGGATTTATACTTCTAAAATATTTTAAATGTATTATTCTTACTGCAAGAAAACTACATCCAGTCAACATTCTGACTGAAAAGTCATTTCTATCCTCGGAATTAATGAGTACATGAAAAGTAGCTTCTTGGAGTTTCTGGAAGTCCTTCGGAAGTTGTTGATGAATTGAAGATGTTGCTGAATGCGTTTTAGTATCACAAATGCATCTGTACATATAAAGATTTTAAAATTATAGCAGTGTACTCTGGATTGGATGTAGCAGAAAACAGCTACAGAAGGAAAGATTCCTTTTATCATCAGGAGGCTTTGATCTATATTTTTTTCTATTGGCTGAGCAGGGAAAAGATCATCTTTACTCATTCCCCCTGCATTGTACTTTTCGGTAATTTTCTGACAAGGGATATTTCAGGATCCTGCTGTCAACAAAATAAATCTTCGGACAAAATTGGATGTATTTAGAAAATATATGAAATACAACTAAATTTATAGTGATATAATTATTTGCTTCTTTTTTGTACTCAGTTTTAGTATAATGCCTAGAAAGAAGACTATTTCAAACAAATAGTTCTGTTTTCAATTCTCTGTACAGCAATCTTTTAATAATGTTCCATATGTATTTGTTACTGTAAGAACAAATTTGCTGCTCTCATTAAAGGCTTTACATAGAATATACCTTTTGTGTAGATTGATTTGCATTTTATCTTTTATTAGTGTATTAAGTTGTAGATCCCTACAGTGGAACAAGACTCCTTTTAATGAAAGATTTAATATTTGGGCTATTAAATTGGGCTGCCGGAATATAGCTTGAATTTATATACAAATATATTTTGCTTAGATTTTTGTGAATATAGTTTAACTTCCCAAACCTTTTGGCAACTGAAGGATTCCTAAATATCATATGCAAAGCTAAAAACCTTCTACATAGGAATTCATGGAATTTTAGTTCAATATATCTGCAACACTGTACTTTACAAGTTTGGTGGAGTTTAATTTTACCAGCTGCTTTGGCTGAGTGCCAAAGAATTGAGTCCTTTGAACTAAGGTGCTGGAAAAGACTCCTGCGAGTCCCTTGGACTGCAAGGCGATCAAACCAGTCATTCCTAGAGGAGATCAACCTTGACTGCTCCTTAGAAGGCCAGATCCTGAAGATGAAACTCAAATTCTTTGGCCACCAAATGAGAAGGAAGGACTCACTGGAGAAGAGCCTAATGCTGGGAAAGATTGAGGGCAAAAGAAGAAGGGGACAACAGTGAATGAGGTGGCTGGATGGAGTCACCAAAGCAGTAGGTGTGAGCTTAAATGGACTCCAGAGGATGATAGAAGACAGGAGGGCCTGGAGAAACATTGTCCATGGTGTTGTGATGGGTCAGACAAAGTTTTGCAACTAGCAACAACAACAACAACAACAACAAAAGTGTTTAAAAGCGAGAGCTTTGCTATAAAATCTTTTTGGTATCTTCTGTTTCATTTCTCCATCCAACTATATTCCTTTTCTTGTGTCCCTTCAAACTCTCTACTCTTGTTTCACTATTGCTTCATTAGCTATGTGGACTTCCAGACAGCATTCATTTTTTGCTTGACCCTTTTGTCCCTTTTGCATAACACTATGCAACTTACGCCATATACTTGTCTGTAAACAGATGCACACACGTTCTCCAAAGTATGAAGTTTCAATCTTTTCATTGCTGTCCTTCAAACTATCTTTTCTCAGAGGAGAGCCAAAAAGTTGGTGGCAACTATGATCTGCAATCAAAGCCATGCTGCTTTTTACAAATTTGACAAATTGTGAAAGATAAAATTCTTTCCCCTGGAATACACCTGTGTCCAGATATTCCATATTTTCTGTCCCCATTCTTAATTCTTCAAATGCAGCTTTTCTAAGGCAAGAATGTGCAATCCAAAACTCTAGGGCCATTCAGAATCCTCACGGGCCTTTTATGGAGCCATTGGAAGTATCTGTAACCATGACTGGTAAAAATTAACAGTACAAGTTCCCCCACTTGGAAATGAAAAATGCATAACAACTGGGATAAGTCCTGAATAAACTCAAAGAATTCCCCAGAGCCCCATCTGACCAAATGTGTGGTGAGGCAACTACCACTTTGGAGACCTCAGCTTGCTACCCCCAATGTTATGCTATCCTTACTTGTCAAAAGATTCCCCACCCCCTATTTTTGGGCAATATAATTTTTAGTTTCATTACCCTTATCATTACTGGGATAAATATACTTTTAGTGCATTATTTCTTGTAGCCAGATAAATAAGAACTAGATGTAAATAAGCTAAATAGTAAAATAGGAGTCCCACAATTTAACTTCTATTAAATTTAAACTATTAAATTAATCAAACTTTAATAATTACTTCATGGAATGTTTAATTCATAAATCAAAGTGACATCTGAAAAATGTAGCTTTCTAGACAACCATAATATAGCTATAAACAGACCTTGACAGTCTGAAGGAGATGACTGCCTACTTCAAACCCTTCATGCTCATTTTCTACACCTCCTTCTGCGTGGAAATGCCTTGACCTTTTTTTCACACTCTCTTGAACTATTTGTTGAGGTGACGTTCAACAAAGCTCATTACATTCCCTGCATTTCTCTTCTCTGAATCTTTCTGAGAATCCCTGGCTCTTAACTGAGCCCAACCCCTCTGCCTGAGCCAGAAAGATGAGACTCTGACAGCAAGAACACTTTTAAGATAGCATCTCTTGCCAGTCTTAACAACTGGATAGTTTTGTAACAGGAGAACCAGTTCCTTAGATAACCAGATCACTAAGCCATTTAGGCTTAAATTGTGCTTGATAAGCAGTTGGCAACCAGTACAGATATTTTAATACAGGCATCTTATGATCTCTGTATAGTTATACTTGTTAGCAATCTAGCTGCATATTTGCACCTATTCCACCTTCCAGATAGTTTTCAAGGGTAGTCCCATGTAGAAGACATTGCAGTAATCAAGACTGGATGATATTATGTTGTGGATCAACACTACCAAATCAAGAAAGGAATGAAGCACATGTTGCAGAACCATTACTTGTCAAAGCTAGCACCTGCATATACAGTGACAACTGAGGGTCAAGGAACAAAGTCACATTATGACCCTGTACTCCCGAAGAGAATGCAGTCTATCCCAAACAAGCTGAGTTCCAATATTCAAATCCACATTCTTCATTATTAGTAGCACTTTTACCCTGAAATCTAGATAACATTATTTCTCATTCACCCTACAATTGACTTAGACAAAGTTCATGTTTTCTGAAATGGGATGAGATACCATCAGCATGTGGATGACACTCCATGAGCCGAGATGGCCTCTTCCATCAGTTCCATGCAATTGTTGAGCATCATGGAGGGACAGGACTGAACCATGTGGTGGATTGCAAATCAATAGCCTAGATATCAGACAATAATTCCATAGCTCCATGTATATCCACATATGCATTTGGCTCCTCTGCATAACACATTTAGAATTAGGTCTATATTATTAATTCTATTAATTCCATATTAATAGTTCTATCAATTTATAATTAGTTCTATGGTTCTTGAATCATCTGGTTGTGACTCATATCAGAACTAAAAGATAAATAAATACAAATTTTGTTTGTCTTCTAATAAAGCACAAGTGCCATTATCACAATATTTTAATATCACTTGTCTGATAAAATATATAGCACCACAGCATCCTGTTCTATCTACACTGTTCTTATCCGTTCACAGACTGTTCTTTCATATCAAAATTCCATACATTAAGGAGAGCCATCTTGACATGCTTGTACTATTCTTCAATACATAGGCAAACTTAAGTATTTCTCACTCATTTCTGCATATATACAGGTGAAACTCAAAAAATTAGAATATTGTGCAAAAGTTCATTTATTTCAGTAATGCAACTTAAAAGGTTAAACT